CGCTTCAAGATCGTCTACGTCGCTCCCATGAAGGCCCTTGTCCAAGAGATGGTCGGAAACTTCACAGCCCGACTCAAGGTCTTCGGTATCAAAGTCGGCGAGCTTACTGGCGACTCCCAAATGACCAAACAGCAGATTGCAGAGACCCAGATCATCGTTACCACTCCGGAGAAATGGGATGTCATCACGAGGAAAATGACCGACACTTCTTACACCAACCTCGTACGCCTCATCATCATTGATGAAATCCATCTCCTCCACGACGAGCGAGGACCTGTTTTGGAAAGTATCATCGCCCGGACTGTCAGATGGGCGGAACAACGATCTGAGTTCGTCCGCCTCCTTGGTCTTTCGGCTACATTGCCCAATTACGAGGACGTTGCGACCTTCCTTCGTGTTGATGAGAAGAAGGGTCTCTTCTACTTTGACGCGTCATATAGGCCTTGCGGTCTTCAACAACAGTTCATCGGGGTCACGGAAAAGAAAGCGATCAAGCGTTACCAGATCACCAATGAAGTCTGCTACGAAAAGGTGCTCGACCAGGCGGGCAAGAACCAGACGCTCGTGTTCGTGCACTCTCGCAAAGAAACTGCGAAGACCGCCAGGTTCCTGAGAGACACAGCCATCGAGAAGGAGACGATCACCCAGTTCGTGAAGCCTGATGGTGCCGTTCGAGAGATCTTGACGGAGGAAGCTGGCAACGTGAAGGACAGCAACCTGAGAGATCTCTTGCCATTCGGCTTCGCCATTCATCACGCTGGAATGTCAAGGGAGGACCGTGGACTCGTTGAAGAATTGTTTGCGGACGGATCTATCCAGGTCCTAGTTTGCACGGCGACACTGGCTTGGGGCGTCAATCTTCCTGCCCATACCGTCATTATCAAGGGAACGCAGATTTACAACCCAGAGAAGGGTCGCTGGGTGGAGCTCTCATCCCAAGACGTCCTCCAGATGCTTGGTCGCGCCGGTCGTCCGCAATATGACACCTTTGGAGAGGGCATCATCATCACAAACCACTCCGAGATGCAGTACTACCTCAGCCTGCTGAACCAGCAGCTGCCCATCGAGTCCCAATTTGTCTCGAAGCTGGCGGACAACCTCAACGCTGAGATTGTGCTTGGGACCGTCCGGAATCGTGATGAAGCCGTTCAATGGCTTGGTTACACTTACCTGTGCGTGTACCTTCTTTTTCTTCTCTTCTTCTAAAGAATCTAACACCCGTTTGCAGCTACATTCGCATGCTCAAGTCGCCGGCCCTGTACAGCGTAGGCGTCGACTACCAGGAGGATGACGGTGCCCTAGTCCAGAAGCGCGCTGACATAGCCCACTCCGCTGCTGTCCTTCTGGAGAAGTGTCAACTTATCAAGTACGAGAGGTCGTCAGGTCGATTCCAAAGTACAGAGCTCGGCCGAATCGCTTCGTATTACTATGTGACGTACAACTCCATGATGGTCTACAACCAGCATCTACGTTCGACGATGTCATCGCTTGAGTTATTCAGGGTTTTTGCACTTTCAAACGAGTTTAAGTTTGTACCTGTAAGTTTTCTTCCTTGTGATCTCTTATGTGCCTTCACTGACATTTTCTCATCAGGTTCGACAAGAGGAAAAGCTGGAGCTCGCAAAGCTACTCGAGAGGGTACCGATTCCTGTGAAAGAAAGCGTCGAGGAGCCTGCGGCCAAAATCAACGTACTCCTGCAAGCCTACATCTCGCAACTCAAGCTCGATGGTAAGCGTTTTCACGGCCATTCATCACTGGAATGATATCTAAAGCTTTCTAGGGTTCGTCCTCGTCGCTGACATGGTCTTTGTGCAGCAATCTGCTGGGCGGTGTGTACTGATCAACCGCGTCCCTCGACTTGTGCTAACTATATCGCCTATAGTATTTTGAGGGCTATGTTCGAGATATGTCTGAAACGCGGCTGGGCTGTGCCTGCTAAAGCAGCTCTCGAC